TAGGGTAAAGTATCCGTGGGATCTCTGTATTATTTCTTTTAACTGCACCTATCTCAATAAAAATCTCAGTTAAAGAAAAGCATTGTGTAAAAGTAATACTTGATTAGAATTTAAATCTTATTTAGGAATGTCACAATTCAGTTCAATTCAATTCAGTCACTCAGTCGTGTCTGACTCTTTGCAACCCCATGGACTGCAGCACACCAGGCTTGCCTGTCCATCACCAACTCCCAGAGCTTACTCAAACTCATGTCCATCGAGTTGGTGATGCCATCCAACCATCTCATCCTCTGTTGTCCACTTTTCCTCCTGCCTTCAATCTTTCCCAGCATCAAGGTCTTTTCCAATGAGTCAGTTCTTCGCATCGGGTGGCAAAAGTATTGGAGTTTCAGCTTCAGCATCAGTCCTTCCAATGAACACCCAGGACTGATCTCCTTTAGGATGGACTGGTTGGATCTCCTTGCAGTCCAAGGGACTCTCAAGAGTCTTCTCCAATACCACAGTTCAAAAGCATCAATTCTTCAGCACTCAGCTTTCTTCACAGTCCAACTCTCACATCCACACATGACCACTGGAAAAACCATAGCTTTGATTAGATGGACCTTTGTTGGCATTAAATTAAGACTGTATTTTATTTCTACATGTTACTTGATCAGCATGATTCTTTGTGCCTCGTTTTAAGTTCATTCATAATTGTCATTTGAACCTCTTAAATGGATTGGTTTGTTTTGACTGTTAGGCCAAATTTTTAATTAATTTTTAAAAATTAATTAGTCAGTTGTTTGGGCTGTGCTGCACGGCTTACGGGATCTTAGTTCCCTGACCAGGGACTGAACTGGGGCTCTTGTCAGGGGAAGTGTGGAGTCCTAACCTCTGGACTGCCAGAGAATTCCCTAGGCAGACTTTAAAACCTTCAGCTTGACATAAATTACATATGCGACCAAACCTGTGTGTACCTGCCCAGATTGCCCTGGGAACCTGGGGAAAATGTCTTTACAGGCCTTCTAGGAGGAGATGAATCAGAAGTATTGCTTTGGAATAAAACAGCACACTTTCTTCTTTAGTTTTGAAGAGTTATACAAGTTTCCTGGTATATTTGATGTCAGAGGCTCAACATCTAATATTTAAGCATTTTCACTTATGAGGTGGACACAGGTTTGATAAAGACGTAAGCACTTCTGGAGTAGAAATAGGTAGGGCAGGGCTGTCTCTCGGCCTTTGGGTGCGTACAGGGTGACCCTTGGAAGAAGCCCCCCTCCTCCTCAGAGCAGCAGACCTTCTGTGCTGCTGCCTCGTTGCTGGGCGAGGGTTTGTGTCCATTTCTTGCCGTCTCTGCCCTGCTTCTTGCAGGGAGTGTGTGTGTGTGTGTGTGTGTGTGTGTGTGTGTGGCTGGGGGTGGGGGATAGGGTTGCAGGAGGTGTGCCTTAAGGCAGCAGTCCCCAACCTTTTCGGCACCAGGGACTGGATTCATGGAAGACAGTTTTTCCATAGATGGGGGTGGGAGGAGGGGGGGTGGTTTCGGGATGATTCAAGTGCATTATTACGTTTACTGTGCACTTTGCTTCTACTGTTGTTATTACATTGTGATATATAATGCAATAACTATACAACTGACCATTAACGCAGAATCAGTGGGAGCCCTGAACTTGTTTTCCTGAAGCTTGATGGTCACATCTGGGGGTGATGGCAGACAGTGACGGTGGGATCGCCTGCTGCTCACCTCCTGCTGTGTGGCCGAGTTTCTATCAGGTCACGGACCGGTACGCCTGGGGGCTGGGGACCCTCACTTTCAGACTGCATTGATGGTGGGGACTGTCCTGCACTGGTGACAGAGAGCAAGGCATGGAAGTCTAGTCATGCTGTATCAGCATTTTAGTGGTGTTTTGGGGACGGGATTCCCATTGCAATTGTGTAGATTCCAATTGCATTCACTTTACAGTACAGAAAAATCAGTATTTCCGTGAGGTTCTAATTTATGTAAGGGCTTCTCAAGTGGCACAGTGGTAAAGAATCTGCCTGCTAATGCAGGAGGAGCAGGAGGTGTGGGTTCAATTCCTGGGTCTGGAAGATCCCCTGGAGAAGGGAATGGCAACCCACTGCAGGATTCTTGCCTGGAGAATCCCACGGACGAAGGAGACTGGTGGGCCGCAGTACATGGGGTCGCAAAGAGTTGGACATACCTGAGTGAGCACACACAATTTACATAAGTGTGTAAAAGAATATTTTACTTTTCTGTTACTTGTGGCTGTTGCTGTGTGTGGGCTTTCTCTAGTTGCGGAGCGCGGGGGCTCCTTTCCACTTGCGATGTGGGGGCTTCTCAGGCAGTGGTGTCTCTTGTAGAACATGGGCTCTAGGCGGGCGGGCTTCAGTAGTTTTCAGCGCAGGGACCTAGCTGCTCCATGGCGTGTGGGATTTTTCCCGGACCAGGGGTCGAACCTGTGTCCTCTGCATTGGCAGACAGATTCTTTACCACTGAGCCACCAGGGAAGCCCTATATAGGTTTTAAACCAGGTAATTCTTTCTGCATTTTTCACATCCTTCTGTTTCATCACCTGACCACCATGAATGTACATAGTGGAGTTGCCTTTGCCCATTGGGTGGGTGAGTGGGTAATAGGAGGGATAACCGAGAGGGTAAGATTCACATGAGAGCATTTGCTGTGATGTCTTAGAGAGAATGGTACTGAAAGTCGCCTGCCTGTACTCTTTGCCAGGAAGAAGATGGTGAGGGATGAGAACATAGGATGACCTCGTGAGCCCTCAAAGTCGCGTTTGTGAGCGCGGGTGAATTTGTCAGATACTCTGTGGAGCAGATGGGTTTGTATAGCCCTGCTCGTAGTTCCTGAAGGTTCCTCCAGCTTTTCCAAGTTGAAACAGCTTCAGTCTGTGGTTAAGGTCCCAAATGAATCCCAACAAACAGGCTTTTTCCAAGTGGATCAAATAGCACTTAATAAAACGTAGCTGTGTTACGGGTATGTGCATAGCCACGCACACATGGGAATGGATTCCAAGTGGTAAATGCTGTAGATCTGTTTAAAAAAGACACCCCCCACCTCTTTTCATTTGTTAAAGCTGCTCCTTAAAATACTGTTGGCAACCTCATTCCTTATTATTGAACTCTGTCCAGAGGTGAGTTTTTCGGGGAAAGTTTAAAGCAAACTTATGTGCTGTTTAATGTTGTAGTAGGATGGAAAAATAGTAGAAATGAACGGTAGATTTCTCTGATTTTCTTGGAACTTCAAAGTGGCTGACCCAGTTGTTCATTTAAAATGTTCTCTCTTGGGCTGGAGTATAGATTTGGGAGAGAATTCTACTTAGGCAATATTTTGGCAGCATTACCATTGAAAGATGGGATTTATAATTTGCAGTCCACATCTGTCTTTCCCTTAAAGAAATCATCTTTTCCATAAGAAGACCCAATTTTAAGTAGTCCTCACTTTTCAAGTCAGTGCATTCTTGGAAATCCTATCTATCTATCTGTGTATGTATGTATGTGTGTGTATGTATATATATATATATACATACATACANAGATATATTGCCTCTCAAACACTGTTAAACCATTATTGTGGTTTCTTAAAGTAAGTCTTCACCAGCCAGATATGACCAAGAGTGTATTGTAAAAGCAAAGACATGTTAATTTTTTTAAACTTTTTATTTTGTTTTGGGGTATAGCCAATTACCCTAATTCTTTACCAGCTCAGCTGGTAAAGAATCTGCCTGCAGTGCAGGAGACCCTGGTTTGATCCCTGCGTTGGGAAGATCTGCTGAAGAAGGGATAGGCTACCCCCTCCAGTATTCTGGCCTGGAGAACTATACAGTCCATGGGGTCGCAAAGAGTTGGACACGACTGAGTGACTTTCACTTTCATAGCGAGTTAAGTGTTGACGATAGTTTCAGGTGAGCAGTGAAGGGGCTCAGCCATACATGTACCTGTATCCATTCACCCCCAAACTCCCCTCCCATCCAGGCTGCCACATAACACTGAACAGAGTACCATTTGCTATACAGTAGGTCCTTGTTGGTTATCTGTTTTAAATACAGCAGTGTGTCCATCCCAAACTCCCTATCTATCCCTTCCCCCCATCCTCCCCACCCCACAACCATAAGTTCATTCTCTGAGAAAAAACATGTTATTTATTAAGTTATTCAATGTCAATAACTGTAAAACTTGAAATAGAAAAATTCTCTCCTAAGGTAGTAATAAATGTATTAATCAGATTTACTAGGCAGAGGCCTCAGTCTCACCCACTGAGAGCAGGTATTTTTTCTGTGACCTAAATTTGACTGTGAATAATATGCTAATGAAATAAAAATGTAATTGGATATTTACTTTTAAACCTGTGGTTTAGACTTTAGGAAGCCTTTTGTGGTTTGGATGGCCCAGTTTCTAAATAAGACTCCCAAGAAATGTGCACCAATGCTTTCTCTCACCTTCACTTTCGCAGAATAGTGTAGGCGGTGGCTGGTGTGCCAGACTGGCAGCTTTTCCAGCTGTCTTCTGGCTTCCGTAATGTTTGTTGGAATGTCAGCATATATCTTATAGTTGTGGGATCCACTGGCCTGCGGCTTTGGCTGAAGGCAGGGAAGTGGCGCCTTGCTTCTGGGTGAGTCTGGTGAAGTTCCGAGGACCTGGGGGTCGGCAGCCATCACTCTGGGGCAGGGGCCCAGCCTTCAGGATCTGATGCCTGATGATCTGTGCTTGAGCTGATGTAACTGTTAGAAATAAAGTGTACAATAAGTGTAATGTGCGGGAATCATCCTGAAACCACCCACACACCCCAACTCTGGTCCATGGAAAACTTGTCTCCACTGGTGCCAAAAAGCTTGGGGACGGCTATCTGGGGTTAATGTGGCAGGTCCTTCTGAATCCTGTTTGTCTGTGTTAACACTAAATCGCCAGGACAATGAGAGTAGTTTGGTTAAAGGTCACAAAACAGAACCTTCGGTGGCAAGGGCTGTTAGCTTACGTTCCCGTTCTCTCCCCCTCTCTGTCTGTAGCACAAGCCCTGGATCCTCGCCGTCTATGGGATGTGGGCCTGCCGATGCGCGCTGGGCACCCAAGGCACCGCCATGGTGCTCATTCACACCACCATCGCCTTCTGTGTTGCTCAGTTCCGCTCTCAGTCCCTATCGTGGCTGTGTTCTCTCTCTCTGCTCTCTACACTGAGACTGCAAGATGTGGAGGAAGTTAAGGTAAGAGTCTCTCGTTTTTTTTATACCAGTGGGAAGGAGATAACCCGTTTGGCAACGCCATCATCCAGGTAGATGCCTTTGTTTTCAGATGAGTCAATCCAAGAACTGGGATGGGGCTCCCCCTCGTGGCTTCAGAGGGTGTTGCACCCTGCAGTCCTTTTTATCTGACTTTGTCTTAGCCCTCCAGACATGACTGAGGGACTAACACACTTTAGCCCTCGGAGGCTGTCCAGGGCCGACCCTCTACCTTTTCTCCCAGTTTGGGTAAGCATGGATGGTGCCAGATGCCACAGGAACAAAAGGAAAAGAAAGCAATAAAAAAAAAAAAAAGAAAGCAATAATCTCCTTGTTGATTAGTCACTAAGTTGCATCCAACTCTTTCTTTACCCTGTGGACTGTAGCTCGTCAGGCTCCTCTGTCCATGGGATTTCCCAAGCAAGAATACTGGAGTGGGTTGCCATTCCCTCCTCCAGGAATAATCCCCTATGCTTTTAATAAAAAATCATCTGTAAGCTGCTGTACAGTGTATAGAGAACTCTTGCATCTCTATTTCATCAGAAGCCCGTGGTGGTCCCTGAAACAGATACGGTAAGTATTTTTCTTGCACAGAAAATCTTGGGAAGCTTCTGATATTCTTTCTTTAACCATGTGTTCCTGTGGTATTTTAACTCTTGTCCATTTGTTCACTCATTCATTCACTCATTTATTGATTCATGTGATGGCAGTTAGAACTGGTGAGCTAAAATAGATTTTAGATGTAGTGAATAAATATTGTGTTTTCATGCTCTGTCATGTCTGACTCTTTACCACCTCATGGACTCCAGTCTCCTCTGTCCATGGGATTTCCCAAGCAAGAATACTGGAGTGGGTTGCCATTTCCTCCTCCAGGAATAATCCCCTATGCTTTTAATAAAAAATCATCTGTAAGCTGCTGTACAGAGTATAGAGAACTCTCGCATCTCTATTTCATCAGAAGCCCATGGTGGTCCCTAAAATCTTGGGAAGCTTCTGATATTCTTTCTTTAACCATGTGTTCCTGTAATATTTTAACTCTTGTCCATTTGTTCACTCATTCATTCACTCATTTATTGATTCATGTGATGGCAGTTAGAACTGGTGAGCACTGATTGGCACAGACATGGGAAAGAACACAGCAGGAAGGATGAGCCAGTGGTTTTCTAATCCCTCCTATTCACTATGTGTCCTTCTCTTGAAACCAGAGGCAGTATTTAACCCCTGAGTCTCAATTTCATCATTTTGAAAATGAAGGTACAAGCTGCTCTGCCTTCCTCGTGGAGTTGTTCTGCGGACCTAACAAGATAATGTGTTAAGCAATTTTGTAAAAATGGTAGCATTTTGAAAATTCAAGTTTTTTTGTTTTTTTTTCTTTGCAGTTGTTAGGCTATCTTAATTTTTCTTCACTCTCACCAGTGGACTGGGGTGAGTAAGTCAGATGGGCAGCTCTCTCCTAACAGAAGATACTTAACTTCCTGGAATGATTAAGCTACCTGATTATTTAAATAAGTGTGCTTAAAATTAGATTTGTGATAAAAATAAAAACAAATCCACATCTAACTTTGGGGGGGGATCTGGCAATTATTCAAAACAGTCTCTGATTGTAATGATTAATTATTTGGGGACCACTAGCATCAGTTATGGGTGTTGGTGGTGAATAAATTATGTACATTGGTGATGTGAATAATATTGCCCGAGAGGAGGGAGGCAATGGCCAGCAACCAGTTGCTCTAGATTTCCATACTTTCACACATGCCGTTTTCTTGATTTTTCTTGGTGGCTGCTCAAGTCCTGGACATGGGGTAGAAACTCTGTTCAGGGCTTAATTTTTCTCTGTAAAGCCTTGAGAGATTCTCATGGGTCAAATGAACTACTCTGTCCTTTGTCCCAATTCTGTTTTTTGTATCTATTTTCATCACCTAGTTTTCTCATTAAAAAATAATCTGTATGTATTTTAGAAAATATGGAATACGTAGAAAAATAGATGATAAAATGATCCATAATTTTACTCCCTCAGTAGTATCTAGATTTTATCACAGTTGCTTTTAGTCTTTTGTTCTTCGCCTAGTTTTGTACATACTTGTTACTTCCTATTTCATGCTGTCTTGTATACTGACTCCTGTATGAGAATTCAGTTTCACTGAAGGCAGGGACTATTTCTTTTGATGATGTGTCTCTAAAGCTTGTTTGGAAAATAGTCCTCCACTACATGTGAAGCCAAATTAATGACAGAGAGTCAAAGGAAAAATCTGTTGAAGACATAAATCCCACGTGGTCTTTACAGACACACCATTTTATTGTGCTTCCTGGGGATTACTTTTCTAGCAAATTGACTTCCTGGCCGACCTTTCTTGTTCACTTTACTCCTGTGCCCTCCCCAGCACGAGCGTCACGACCAGCTCAGCTCCACCTCAGATCATCAGGCATTAGATTCTCGCAAGGAGTGTGCAGCCTCCGACCCTGGCACGCGCAGTTCACAGTAGGGCTCACTCTCCTGTGAATATCTAATACTGCTGTCTGCTGGGGGGCGGGGCTCAGGCTCGAATACGGAGCCCTGGGAAGTGGCTTTAAATACAGGTGAAGCTTCACTAGCTCACCTGCCCTTCCCCTCCTGCTGTGTAGCTCGATTCCTAAACTGGCCACGAACCAACAGTGGCCTGTGGCCTAGGGGTTGGGGGCCCCTGTAGTAAGCTGTAGTATAGTTTATTCGTATAGTATATGTAAACATAGCTTTTATGTGCAAATGGGAAACCACGCAAATTGTGTGACTCATTTTGTAGCAATATTCCATTTATTGCGGGGATCTGGAGCTGAGCCCCCAGAGTCCTGAGATCCGTCTGGATAGGTCTCTCTGTGTCTTCAGGGTTGTGGAAGGGGCTGTCAGAGTACCCCTCGGATGTAGCTAATCTGCATGCTATGCACTGGTGCGTCCCACGGGTGCGTATCTGGGAAAACCCTCACCCTCTGTTGCATCAGACTTAACGCTAAGCCGATGGCCGATGTTAGGGACACTCTTCTGCCTGTTGCTTGTTAACTGCTTGTTCTGATGATGCATGACGTTTACCAGCTGTTCGGAGGCTCTCGGCTCCCAGGGTGGGACAGCCGCTCTGCCCGTGGAAGAGTTCCCCTTCCCCAGAGACTGGATGGGGTCTGTCCTCGACACTCAAGGGTTGTTCTCTCCTTGTGACTTCGCAGAGAGGGTGGTACAAGACGGAGACCGAATACTACCTGCTGCAGTTCACGCTGACTGTGCGCTGTCTCTACTACACCAGCTTCAGCCTGGAGCTGTGCTGGGAGCCCCCACCGGCCCAGCGGCCCTTCTACTCCCTCCCCTGGATGCTCGCCTACGTCTTCTACTACCCGGTCTTCCACAACGGGCCGGTCCTCAGCTTCCCGGAGTTCATCACGCAGGTAGAGCCTTTCGAGGATGGCACGGGTGTTCCTGCCCGTGACACTTCTGTCCTTGTTGCTGTGAGATCCGTCTGGATAGGTCTCTCTGTGTCTTCAGGGTTGTGGAAGGGGCTGTCAGAGTACCCCTCGGATGTAGCTAATCTGCATGCTATGCACTGGTGCGTCCCACGGGTGCGTATCTGGGAAAACCCTCACCCTCTGTTGCATCAGACTTAACGCTAAGCCGATGGCCGATGTTAGGGACACTCTTCTGCCTGTTGCTTGTTAACTGCTTGTTCTGATGATGCATGACGTTTACCAGCTGTTCGGAGGCTCTCGGCTCCCAGGGTGGGACAGCCGCTCTGCCCGTGGAAGAGCTCTCCTTCCCCAGAGACTGGATGGGGTCTGTCCTCGACACTTAAGGGTTGTTCTCTCCTTGTGACTTCGCAGAGAGGGTGGTACAAGACGGAGACCGAATACTACCTGCTGCAGTTCACGCTGACCGTGCGCTGTCTCTACTACACCAGCTTCAGCCTGGAGCTGTGCTGGGAGCCCCCGCCGGCCCAGCGGCCCTTCTACTCCCTCCCCTGGATGCTCGCCTACGTCTTCTACTACCCGGTCTTCCACAACGGGCCGGTCCTCAGCTTCCCGGAGTTCATCACGCAGGTAGAGCCTTTCGAGGATGGCAGGGGTGTTCCTGCCCGTGACGCTTCTGTCCTTGTTGCTGAGATCACTCATGAGTCTTTTCATACTGTTGTTGTTTAGTCGCTCAATCATGTCTGACTCTTTGCAACCCCATGGACCGTAGCCCACCATGCTCCTCTGTCCATGGGATTCTCACGGCAAGAATCCTGGTGTGGGTTGCCATGCCCTCCTCCAGGGGATCTTCCTGACCCAGGGATCGAACCCACGTCTCCTGCATTGGCAGGTGGATTCTTTACTGTGGAGCCACCAGGAAGCCCATACTTGGTTGCCCACAAATGTACAACACACATTATTGTCGTGAATTCTGATAAGAAGTGAATACTTCGGGGAAGTAAGCCTTCAAAATGAAGGTCACCATGTCCCTTGTGCATGTGGGCTGTAGGAGCCCCCACCCAGGTTCCCAGTGGACTGTGGCAGCCAGAAATAATTACTGGGCACAGCCAGGAACTTGGGGGTGGGCATCCCAGGCAGGCCAGTCCCAGAGAAAGAAAACCGGGTTTTCATGGACTTATTGGGAAAATGGAAGGAGACACTGACTAAGCTCTCGGTTGGCAAACAGTTGGTGCCCTTTTATTTTCACAAACTGTCTATGAAATAGCTCTTCTGTGGCTGGGGGATTGTTCAGGGGGACCTGGGTGGGATGACAGAGTGGGGTTGAAGAGGTTTGAAGGCAGTGCAGTGGTGTGTCTTCAGGTCTGGGTGTCTGTTTCTGCCCAGGACCGCACCTGCCTCCTGGGCAGCAGTCTTGTCCGAGGCTCACGGCAAGCTGCCTTCACCATTCCCACCTCATTTCCCCTCCTACTTTGGATTCCTTCCCCCATTCCACAGCCCCTTGTGGAAGATGTGTACTGGGTTAATTCACACAAAGTGTGAGTAATCAGTGATGCCTAAAAACAGGGTTTCTTCAAGAATATTTCTGTGCCCCCCCAACAAAAGAATCCCGATGGAGGTGAGAATAATAACACGTATGCACACACAGTGCACACATGTGCAGGCTCATACATGTATACACATGTGCACACGTGGGGAGCTGGACATGTTGAAGAGCAGGGCTAGCAGCAGTGTTTCACATATCTGGAGGGGGCACCCTGAAAGGTGCCCTCTGCACAAATTGGAGGGTGCTTAGAAATCCCTTATTTTGCCTTAAAAATTTCACATTGTATTCAAAACATTACATTTCTGCATTATAACAATAACTTACTGTTTAAAAATTGCCAGTTAAGTCATTAAACTTTTTTCCCCTCTGCAAACAGTTTAAGTGAAATTGATATTCTAGGCGGATGTATTGATATGTTTAGCATATGGTTTCTCATACTTCAGTTTGGGGTACCTAGGAGCGTTCTTTTGTCGTGAAGGAATTTAAAAATCCGTGTTTGAAACTCATGGTTAAAGTTGTTGTGTAAAAGCCAGAGGTGGTTTAGTGATAACAGCTGATCTTCCCACTCTGTGGTTCTTTTTTTTTTTCAAACTTTAAACTTTTTATCTTGTATTGGGGTATAGCCGATTAACAATGTTCTGGTAGTTTCTGGTGAACAGTGAAGGGACTCAGCCATACATACACGTGTCATTCTCCCCCAGATCTGTCTCCCATCCAAGCTGCCGTGTAACAGTGAGCAGAGTTTCATGCGCTATGCAGTAGGCCCTTGCTGGTTATCCATCTGGAATATAGCAGTGTGTACGTGACCTTCCCAAAGTCCCTAACTATCCCCTCCCCCCCGGCAACCCTAAGTTTGTTTTCCAAGTCTGTGAGCCTGTTTCTGTTTTGTAAGTTCATTTGTATCATATCTTTTTAGATTCCACATATAAGGGATGTCATGTGGTGATTCTCTACCTCTGTCTGGCTCACTTCACTTGGTGTGACCATCTCTCGGTCCGTCCGTGTCTCTGCACGTGGCCTTATTTCACTCTTTTCAATGGCTGCCGACTCAGAGATTCTTAAAGTGGGGTCCCTGGACCAGCGGCTGCAGCCTCACTTGGGAACTTGTCAGACATGCAGCTTCTCAGGCCCTGCCCCAGACCTACTGAATCAGAAACCCGGGGGCGGGGCCCCAGAGTGTGGTCCTGATGCTGAGAGGTGGAGAATCACTTTCCTAAGTTTTTTAGAAGAGGAACTTCTTCTCCGGAGGTGTGGGCCCTCCTTAAAAGATCAGGGTGGAGTAGGCCCAGTGTGGGGTGGGTTCAGTTCACTCACATTCTGTCTCTTTTACAACCTCCTTGTTGTTGGAGAAGGAAATATCAACCCACTTGAGGATTCTTGCCTGGGAAGTCCCACAGAGAGAGGAGCCTGGGGCTACAGTACATGGGGTCGCAAAGAGTCGGACGCTACTGAGCACACACCCATGGCACGACCATTGTAAATTTTAAACTTTTTTTTTTTAATTTAATTTTATTTATTTTTTTTTTTGGTTTTCGTCATACATTGAAATGAATTAGCCATGGATTTACATGTATTCCCCATACCGGTCCCCCCTCCCACCTCCCTCTCCACCCCATCCCTCTGGGTCTTCCCAGTGCACCAGGCCCGAGCACTTGTCTCATGCATCCAACCTGGGCTGGTGATCTGTTTCACCCTAGATA